AACATGTCTCTGTTATTGGTAAAAAGATCAGCCTGTTTGCTCGAGACGTAGCGGAGATATTCAATTTTTTCTAACTCTAATGACTTTCCGCACACCCTATATATGACTATTTAGGTTTGATGCATGTCTATTGTGACACATGAGTGAGCTTTCTGATATTATAATGTTCATAATGAAAAAAATAAAATGATAGAAACACTTCTAATACATCTATAGCATTTCATGAGTTCCAGAAATACTTTCGGGAATCTTCTATCAGGTCTTCTTTGTTACGTTTTACAGAGTTTTTATAAATGTTAGTAGAAATTTAAGATAATTTCCTAATGTGTTCTGAAACTTACTACATTGAATTTTCCAATATTTTCCTTTTTTTTTTTTTAAATTTCTATTTAAAGCTCAGGATTCTCGACACACATGGGATGTGTTGTAATATATGTTAGCTCTTATTATAACAGTTATTCACTTCCTCTAACATAATATTTCTTGAACGAAATTCATGAAGATCGCGTAACTCGGTATACTTTTACTAATGGAAAAATTATAAAATATGAAAAAACTTCATGAACTAGAAACATGAGCAGTCATTTCATAGCGATTAGCAACGGATGCTAATGAAAGATTACATTTGAGATACCATATCTCAACAAGAGTTTAAGTGAACATCTTTAGGTATCCACTGAAGATACATGATGACATGTTCTACCAGATATTAACTTAACACTTGAATTAAAGTTTCGAGAAACGAATTTCAATATTGAGTAGTAGCTATTTTTTGTTATACTGAGTGGAAGTTTTTGATCTTATTATCGTTTAAAGGACTTCAAGAAGTTCAAATGGCCTTTAGTATATAGTAAATACACAACACACAACACTGTATAAGTACATAATAATTAAGAAATATAATTGAATCTTCATTTGAAAACACACATTTTACTTTTATGATCTTATTAATGATATTCATCTGTTTTACGTACTCTTTATGTTATCTGCTGTTTAACAGATATTCACTATAAAGCAACATCCAACATGCACTTAAATGCAGCACCATAGTATCTTTAATGCTATCTACAATATAGGTTTGAATCTCGAAAAATAATTTTGTCGCCTGGCTATCCATTGTGGGTTCTATTCTCCCATAGAATAGCCTATAAGGACGTATGGATAACCAAGAGAATAAGTCTTGATACACAAAAGAACTGTTTCATAAGTACAGTTCTCATGAAAAGAATTCTTGAAAAATTCCAGCTTCTATAAAGAGTGCTATTTGATCAGATGAGCTTCTATGAGTAGAGTTGTTGAAAAAGTTCAGTTACTATTAAAAGAGCTGTTTGAACAGTTCCTGTGAGCAGAACTAAACATGAACTATCATACCTCTAATAAGTACTCTAATGTACATTATTTTATTGTACTCGAGTACAATTGTACTTAGTATATGTACTGTGTATCAATATACTGTAGTAAAAAGTATTCAAGTAAAGTCCACAGTACATGTTTTAAGTACCAAATATTTGTACTTCTACACTGTCCAATCACTGATAACTATAAGTGTATGATAACCAAAATAACTTCAACAATATCTACTCACAATGTCATTCAAATCCTCGCTCATCTGTACTAACATCCACATATATTTCTTTTAAATCATGTTGTACAAAAGTGTTGAAATAAATAAATATTCAATCAAAGATTTGAATGAGAAAAAAAACTTTTTATTAATGATTAAATAATAAGGAAGAAAATAATCAAAATTATTCAATGAGTACAGTTTATATCGAATGAATGTATTGAATATATAGAAGATCAAAACCAAAGACAAAATCTTCTTATTTGAATATGAACTCGACTATTAGGAAAACGTCTTTGAATCATAGAACGATAAGGTTCAATTTTTTGATGATCAATTTGACCATAAATATCGAGAAAAGTAAATTGTTTTAATTGTTGAATTAATTGAGAAAGATCATATTCAAATATGGAAACATGTTCAGCTAAAAAAAACAAAAAAAAAAGAACTTTTATTATTCATTTAAGTCCAATTGATTTCCATACTAATTGATTGAGATGTTGTTAAAGATTTTAACCATTTATCAGTTAAATTTTGACGACGCCATTTTGATTGAAATTCTGGTCGAACTTGAATATAAAAACAAAAAATGTTATATTTATTTAGATGATTAAGCAATATTTCAATGAAAAATATTTTATTCTTATTCAAATATCGAACTCTAATAGTATTTCTTTGTAAGATTTTTCTAAGAAAATCGAATTGATATAGAATTTAAAGAAATTTTTTAAATTGAACTCTTGTTTTATTCTATAGAAATGATTAAATCTAAATTTATATATTTCATCTGAGATGAGAAAGAGAACAAAATATTAATCATTAAAATAATATAAAAATTCATTTATAATGAGTTTATTTTTTGTTTTTTTTATTTTATTCAAATATTCATTTACTTGATGTCCAAGGAAAATCATCTGGTCGCCAAATACGTAATGTTTGTAAATATGGTGTATAATTCCCAAGAAAAGATACAAGATTTTTTCCAATACGTGTCGATTCATTTGAACCTTTATGACAACTAGGAAGACAAAATTCAGCATATCGAACTGAATTCAATGCGTTTTTTCTAAGTTTGTTCGATGCCTAAAAATAAAAGCAATGACATAATTCAAAGTTATAATAGTTTATTTATGAAAACAAAAAAATCACAAAATTAGAATAATTTAAATCAAATAGTTTAATAATAATTCATATATTAAAATAAAGAT